ACAGGAGAAAAAAACCATTTTTAACCTGATCTGGGCATCCGTCTTTAAGCAATATATTTATTTTGCCATGACATCTAAATTCTCACTTCTTGTATCCCCTTCACATTTGATATCCTAGAATTCAGTTAGCCATGGACAAAAATAATCTTATAAGGTACCATTTCTTTACATTTGGGAGGTGGGGTCAAGTGTAGACGGTAAATAATGCCAATAGTAACAAAATTTTAATTGAAGAGAATGAATAGACTTAGCAGAATATGCCTTTCTGTACTTTAACATCAAGAAAATACTGGTGTTGCAAGAGGCATTAAGTCATCCTTTTTCATGGCTGAGTACTACTCCATGACATGCGTATACCACAGTTTGTTGATCCATTCATGAGTCGATGGGCATTTGGGTTGATTCCACATCTTTGCAATTGTGAATTGTGCTGCAATAAACATCGAGTGCAGGTGTTTTTTTGATAAAATGACTTCTTTTCCTTTGGGTAGGTACCCAGTAGTGGGATTACTAGATTGGATGATAGGTCTACTTTTAGTTCTTTGAGGAATCTCCATACTATTTTCCGTAAGGCGTGTACTAATTTGCAGTCCCGCCAACAGTGTGTAAGTTTTCCTTTCTCTCTGCATCCACGCCAGCATCTGTTGTTTTTGAACATTTTAATAAAAGCCATTCTGACTAGGGTATGGTGATATCTAATTGCAGTTTTAATTTGCATTTCCCTGATAACTAGTGACATTAAGCATTTTTTCATATGTTTATTGGCCATTTGTCTGTCTTCTTTTGAAAAGCTTCTGTTCATGTCTTTTGCCCACTTTTTAAATGGGATTGTTTGATTCTTTTCTTGCAATTTGCTTGAGTTCTTTATAGATTCTGATTATTAGTCTTTTATCAGATGTGTACCTTAGTGGGCAAGTTAGCTTTCATTTCTTCAAAATGCCCATTTTCCAAATTCGTCTCAGGCAGAGTTCGATGATGGAAACACGTGCTTGGAGGTCAAGGCAGTGGGCTGTGGGTGGCTCTGGTTGGTTGAGCCCCCGACTCCACCAATGCTGGTCCCCAAGCCAACCCCCCCACTGCACAGGGAAGGCTGGTGAATCTGTCGTGACTCCATTTTATTTGCTTTATGGGATGTTTGCCCTCCTCTGATGGGGTGCTCAGAGTTTATCACTAGGACGCTTTTGTTTAAAGAGGAAGCCATCAACGCAACTAACCCAACATTTATTTTTATTTCCTCCAACCTTATTCATCTGTTTCAACAGATATGGGACCATTTCAGAACCATATACTAAAATGGCATGTGACCTCCAAAGAGGCCATAGTGATGTTGGAGGCAAGGGAAAAAAGAAAGAAAGAAAGAAAGAAAAATCTTTTATTTCTCATTACAAACAATAAGGCAATTTAAATTACTCATCAGCTTAAAATTGACGAGAAATCATGAGAACTTCTCCCTTCCAGGTTGCATCAGTTAGGATGGTGATTATCTGTGAGTAACAGGGCTCGAAGAACAATGGTTACAATGAGCAAGATTTTAATTCTCTCCAAATGCGTTTGGAAGGACAAATGCCAGGGTGCCATGACGATGCTTCTCACATCCAGGTTCCTTCGCCCCTTGCCTCAGTCGTGGTGTTGGTCCCCCAGGGCTGCTGTGACGAAGCAACACAACTTGGCAGCTATAAAACAAGAGAAGTTTATTGCTTCTCGGTTCTGGGGGCTGGAAGTCTGGAATGAAGGTGTCAGCAGAGCTCTGAAGGAGTGTCCCTCCTGCCTCCTCCAGCCTCTGCCGTCTGTCCCCGTCCTTGCCGCTCCCCGCTTGTGGAAGGATCCCTCCCATCTCTGGCTCCAACTTCACACACCGCCCTTGTGCCTCCGTTTGTGTTTTCTCTTCTCACAGACACCGTCCTTGGGTCAGGGCCCCCCCTAATCCTGTAGGGCCTCGCCTCAACTAATGACGTCTGCAAAGACCCTATTTCCAAACAAGGTCACATCCTGAGCTTCCAGGTGGGCATGAATTTTGTACTCATCAGAAGGGGCATATGCAGGGACCAGTAAGGATCGTGATCAGCCGATGGGATGGAGGTAGCGTTTTCTAAACCGATTCTGGGCCTTCCTTTCCTAGGCCCTAAGGGACTGTGATAAGGCGACCCCATGGCAATAAGGCAGCTGAGCTTGCAAAGGTTTACGGGGCTCCGATCATCAGAGCCCTCACAGGTCCTGTCTCAGCCAACGCCGAGGCTGCACAGGTGATCACACCCTTGAACCCGATCTCCGTGGTCCTCCTCCCTCCTTCCTCCTCCCGTCCGTCTGAAGATTTCTGCGTCTTATCCTCATAATATCATTCCCTCCTGGAGAAAGCAAAGCTGTGCAAGAGAGAAAATTCTGGAAGTAAAAGCACCGGGAATACGCAGAGGAGGCAGGGGGGTACCCAGCCTGGAAGCGCTGCCGCCACTCCCCTCTGAGAGCTCGGTGGGCGGCACGACCGTGCTATTCGGGGGAGACGGCGACACTCGGACATATGGGCCTGCAGCTGCCCCTCAGTCATTTCTCATCTGACCCGAACGTGCAGAAACACTCGAGGCCTTTGATTTTTACTGTCAGAATGGAGACGCGCCTCACTCTGCCACGGATGTGCAAAATCGTCTTCCCTGACATGAGTGGCAGCGGTGACAAGACACCCCAGCCCCCACCGCCTCTTCCTTCCCTTTGTGATGAGTCAGGTTGGACCAGGGAGTTAAGGAGCATTTTCTGCTCCTTTTCACAGCGTGACTTGTTCCTTTTGATCCTCGCCCTTTAGAGTGAAAAAGTACACACGGCCTTTTTCTTCCCCAGAGACAGCAAGTAACATCATATACTGATTTCACCCCTTCTTTTTTTTTTGTTTTTTTTTTGCTACGTTTCACCCAAAATGAAATAAAATCAGACTAGGAACCCACAGAGGAGAAAAAAAGCGAAAAATGTGTAGACAAAGGAGCCCTTGAAGGCCGATGCATTTTCAGACAGTTTAAGGCGCGGTCTTTGAAATTTGGGAACTTTCCAATCTGGAGTCTTGTCTTTTGGAATGAAAATAATGAAAAAAGATACATATGATTATATCCAGCCACTAAACCACGTGAGCTAGTTATAGCTGGACGTCATCCTATAAAGGAAAAATGAGATCTTAAATAAGAAATAAAAAGTTAACATGAGGAAAATAGTTATGCAATTTTAGAATGATAAACTCCTGTGCCGTCTGCTGGCAGGCTGCTGACAGGCACTTTGGATTTCACACGAAAATCCAAGTGACAAGAATCTCTGCAGGGCTATCGCTCAAAGTGATGCAGATACGGCCTTACCGAGGCTGCAGTGTGGAAGGAAGATAAAGTGATCGGGTCGCTATAAGCGAGCGTGAAATGCCAACTGTCTTAGGTGCCCCTGACCAGCTCCCAGCCCCCACCCAGACTTGTTCCCGTTATTCTATCAAGGATAGGACAGTCATGTTCCACTTGCACAAGAAACGCAATGTGGCCTGTTGGTAAAACACCTCTTAGGGACGCCACTGGCATGAGATGAACTGGAATTGAGCAAACAATAATGTCCTAGGCTGGGACTTGGACACCGTAGTTTCACAGAGACGCGGGGTTACGTGGGGGGCTCTGTCTTTGTGTGACGGAGGAGACAATCTCTGCAGAGCAAGTGAGATGCACTTGCTGGTTCTCAGGGTTCAGTTTTCTCTATCTGAGAAATGGGCTCACGTGATCTCCCAGGCCCCAACCCGTTCAGAAATCACAAGAACTCTATGAGAGTCACCGAGGACGGGTGCATTGGAGGGACAGGTGCAGAGGGTGACGTGCTGCTCAGTGTCTGGGGAGGGCTACCTGCGGCACAGGTGCGCCACGAGGAAGGGATGCGTGCTCAGTGTGCAAGGGGCCGAGAGCAAGAAGGGGATGACGTGAATCCCGGTCCCTTCCCGGTCGCATCCTCATCCGTGCGCTCAACAGATGTTTTTACTACTTGGTCGTAGCCGGCACCGTGCTAAGTGGCAGCGAGTAGGCACAGCCCCATGGGGCTCACGTCTGGAAGGGAGGTAGGGTGCTTGGATCCCTGTAAGTGGAAGTAAAGCAACAACTGCGTCAGTTGCTACCGAGGAGAACGGCTCAGGATGCTCTCAGCTCTGAAAGCAAATGACCGAGGCAGCTGGGACGTCCCTGCAGACAGGTCTCCCGAGCTGATCCATGAAGGAGTTCAGTAGCAGACATGCATGTTTGGGTGCGTGTGTATGTGTGTTGTGCATGCGTGCGTCATATCGTTGGGGGTTTGGGAGCGTCCCTGGAGCCGTGATAGCATCGCAGGCATGTCAGAGGCCAGGACCCAAGAAGAGCCTGGGAAATTGAGGGAGGTGACAGACGGCAACAGTGACAGCACAGAGGCTGAGGTTCCTCCCACAGCCTCTGTGTGTCTCCCGCGCACACACTGTTTGCAAGGTGGTAGCGTGCTAACCCTAGGCACCTTTCCCCATCCCTTGCCCCTCTCGACAACTGTTGGCTGCTTACGTTGGAATCAGTACGTTAATGCATACGTTTAGGACTATTGGAGTCCTGCCTTCTTTACTTCCTGGCTGTGTGACGCTGGCAAAGTTACAAAACCTCTCTGTGCCATCTATAAAATGGGAAGAATAATAATGCCTGTCTTTTCGGGATGCTATGAAGATGGATGGATGGGTCAATATTTGTAAAGCATGTGGAAGGGTGCTGGACACGTGTTTGCCAAATGCGACAGTAATATTGAATTCGTTCACTTCCTAGTCCCTCCCTCCTCATAGTCTCCCTGCAGAAGCTGGATGAGGACAGAAAATTATCTCTTGGCCGCCACGGCCACTCAGCAGGTGCTGCGGGCCCGGCTTTCCTGAGCCCGATCACAAAGCAGGTGCCGTTTGCAGGACGGCTGAGGGGAGGGAAGCCGCACGTTCCCAGGGGCCGGGCATCTCTGCCGGGGTGTGACGGACGGTGTGTTGGTTCTTGCAGGAGGCAGAGATCCTGAACACCGCCATCCTCACGGGGAAGACGGTGGCGGTCCCGGTGAGGGTGGTCTCCGTGGAGGAGGACGGCTCGGTGACCGACCTGCTGGAGTCCGTGGAGTGCAGATCGTCCGATGAAGACGTGATTAAGGCAAGTGGGCGCCTCCCCGCCCCTGCAGAACCTGCGGTCGCGTCAGCTCCCGCGTTCGTTGGCTAGTGGGGACCTGTGGTCATCCTGCCACTCAGATCTGGAGATTGTCCCAGGCTCAGAAATAGAGCACAATGAAAACTGCTCTGCACGGCGATGACGCCGGGTCTGTGACGCCTCCTCTTGACACTGCGCCCTCTCGCGCTCGCGATTCCAGCCACGCCGGCGTCTTTGCCGTTCCTCTGACTGGACGGCGCCCGCCCTCCCCTCACCTAGCTCTCTTCCTCCCCAGACACCGTGCGGCTGGCGCCTCCCTCACTGCTCACGGAGCCTGCCCTGGCAGCGCTGGTGAAATCCGCGCACCCACAGCACTGCCCGCCCATGCCTGCGGAATTATTCTCATGCATATATATGCCATACATATCATGTATGTTTATTCCCTCATGTACTGCACGTGTTTTATTTATTTATTACATTCATGGTCTGACGTCCCCACTGCGTATAAGCTCCGAGAGGGCGGTGCTGTTTTGACCCACCTGTTCACTGCTGTGTTCCTATCACTTACAACAATGCTAGTGTTAAAAGAAAAACTCAAGACAAATTCGATTTAACGGAGTTTAACTGAGCACAGAGCAGGTTGAGAATCGGGTGGCCCCCAGGACCAGACTCGGTTCAGAGCCTCCAGGGCTGCCACGTGGTCGGACAGCACTTATGGGCAGAGGGAGGAAGGTGACAGACAGGACACAGAAGTGAGGGACAGAGGCAGCCGGTTACAGCTTGGCGACTGCCCTATCTGAACAGTCGGCCGTCTGCGATGGGTACAAGAGCAGGTCCTGCCTGTCTGCACGTCCAGTTAGGTTACGATTCACGGTGTGCAGAGAACCCTTTAGGCTACACTTAAAAAATGTCAGGAGGCAGGTTTAAGCTAAACTTAATTTAACACGATACACGCAGTAGTTGTCCAGCAAATGTTTGTTGATTGAATGAGCAATATACTAATGAACAGGAAACACAAGAGAAGACACGACTAAATGACTTAAGGTTTCCCAGAGGGGGCAGCACCTGAAGGATGCATAGGTGTCCAGTCTGCAGATGGGCAAGGCAGGAAGGGACATTGCAGGCAGAGGGAACGTCAGGAAACGGGGTCAGAGGAGACATTCTTGGTGCCTGTGGTCACAGCCCCTGGCACCAGAGTGGCCACGTGACTCTGGGTGGCCAATCAGAGCACTGCATCCTTCCGGACATGCCATTGGCTCAGGGATGGACGCAGCGTCCAATCAGAGCCCAGCAGATGCAGCCCTGAGACTTTGCAGGAACCCCTGGGAAAGCGGTGTTTTCCCCTTGGCTTTCCGGGTGACTCATGGACCCACCCTCAGAAACACAGAGGATGGGAAAACCTCACCGCATTTGGTTTCCCATCAGTCAACAGGCCGCACAGCCTGGTGCACAACTTAACAATCAGAGCCACCTGGCGCGTGTGACATTCTGTTGTCGTTCGGAGGCCATGGAGAAGGAAAGCCAAGGGATTCTTGCAGAAGTGCCACAGCCACCTGTGCAGGCCCCTGGAAACCAGCCTCCGAGCAGGGAAGGTGTGCCCGGAAGCCTCCAGTCTTGTTTATTTGTGTTCACGTTCTCTTCTTTCCCCAGCCAGAGGGCCAAGAGCTTGTGTGGTCTCCCCCGTCCAAGGCAAAACCCCTCTCAGGAAACCCGCCGGGGAGCTCATTCACACCGAGGCACAAATCACATAAAGGCGTGTTATCTTGTGCCTCCCAAGGATGCTTGTTTATTTTAAGGCAACAGATCCCCAGTGGCGGCCCTTCAGATGTTAGCAATAATATCCCTTGCGATTCTTAGGGATTGGAAATAACAGAAAGTTCCACCCACACCGACTTCAGTAAAAACAACAAAATTGTCTCACATGATTGAGAAGTCCAGAGTTGGGGCTAGCTTAAGGTTTTATTTAGAACCTCGAAACATACCACCAGAACATTCTCTGTCTGCCTCCCTCTCTCCCCTCCTACTTACTCTGTTTCGTGAGGATGCGGTCCATTCTCACAGAGCTTGCTCTTGTGGGAGCGGGGGGGTCCCTTGGAACTGGCTCGAATCCGGTAGAAAAAAAGATATCTGCTTGCTATGACATTCCTGTATAAATTCCAAAATATGTTCTTAGGGCACGGGTCGAGATCACCTCCTTATTCTCCAGCCAAGCGCGGCAGCCCAGGGACCCAAACTCACCGGTTGTCCAAAACCTAAATCACCTCGAATCACGTGAACTCAATGAGGGGTTTGGGGAGGGGATCCCCGAGTCTGATGTGTGTGGGGTTGCCCCAGAATAGGGCAATGCACTGTCTGCAGCAAAAGGCACACCCCTCCCCTGCAGCCGCTGAAGAGTGGGTGAGCTTTGGGGCTTGGGGACCTTTTAGGAACCCACAAAGCATGGTGGGACAGCTGTTGTATGGCTAAAGCCGAATTGCCTTCACGTACTGGGAAGGAGGCTGATTTGGGCTCAAGTTTTGCTCCGGAAATGTTCACTGAGGTTCTTGTTGTTGTTGGTTTTGCCATGTATGGGCTCAGGTGTTCACTGACAGGTCCTGAATAAGCCGGCATCTACCTAATGTCTCAGAAACAGCCACTGATAATCAAAGGAAGATTTGGCGCCTCCCTCGTTAGGGCTGAACTCCGGCGAACTTGCTTTATCTTACAATATTCCAGCAGGATCCCGGGCCACCCTTGCGGCTCCGCCAGAGACGCGCCAGTCGGAGACGGGTGTGATAAAGTTTGACGTAGTCTCTGAAGGCGGATCAAAGCAGAGATTTCTTTTCTGTGAGGGCTGCAAACCGCTGTGGTGGGAAGGAGTGTGATTTCGGGGCTGGGAGTGCAGCACTTAACAAGCCGGGTAAACAACTGGGAGGAAGAGAAGACTACAAAGCAAGGAGGCTCTCGTGCAGCTATTTCCAGCTCCCTGGTGGAGCGCTTTGGTGTCGGGGCCTGATCCGGCTGCCTGCTCTTCACGGCGGCCTTGTTCCCGAGCAGGAGGGGCACAGTCGGGGGCCGCCACGCTGGGTAGCTCTATTTCTGCAGTCCAGCCGGCCTCCAATTACGCGGACAGCCGCAGAGAAGGCCCAGGCAGCAGATCCTAATTAGTCCCTCCTTCCTTCCCGGGCTGCAGATCCTGTACTCCTGTCCTGACCGGCTCTTGTTGTCACCACCCCAAGAGTTGAGCCAAATGGCTTCAAATATCCAGCTAAGGAACAGAGAAGTGGCAGGGGTTTTTCCTCCTCACTGATCCCCGCTGCCTGCTTTGAAGACTTTTCCTGTGTCACCTGCAGGGAAGCGCGCTCAGAAGCAGGCTGACCACGTCACAGTAGCGCCCTCCGTGCATGAGCACCACGCTCTGACACTGATGCAAGAGCCTCGCTGTTTATTAGGGAGCAGGTTTCTCTCCAGCATTTCACTCACTAGGGGAACGGATTAGACCACCTGCACTTGTCACTTTCTGCGATCCGTTGTGTAGGCAAAGGGCGGTCGTTCTGAAAGTAACTCTCCCACGCTGGGATGGAAGTTGTAGCTGCAGAGTGGGGCGAAACCAGCTGCTCTAGATACAGGGACTGGCCATGTTTGTCATCACCGGGAGGACACCCTGGCGGATTCATGGAGGGGAGAGTTAGGAGAAGATCAAGTTGAGCTGTATCACATAAACGTTGCACGTACGTCTGGCATCGTTATTGTTATTAATCATAGCATTCTATTTGGACAGCAAATAGTTGTCTTCCTCTCCTGGAATTGCCTTCCGGAGGTTGGAATGTTTCTCTTGCTTGATTGGAAGCGAATGTTTTAGCTGATAGGAAACAAGATTTCTGCTTCCCATATATATGCCCACCTCGTAGGTTCATCTTCTTCCTTATCAAGTCTGTTTCTAGAATCTAACGTGCGAGTTTGAATTGTTGGTGGGTCATTCCACACCTGGTGCAGGTTAAAGGCAGGTAGAAGGGTTACGGCAATGGTAACAATAGAAATGGTAATAATTTAATAGTTATTGGATGCTCACTTCATAGTAGGTAAGCATTTGCTACTTTGGTCCTCACAAGGACCTTATGGAATAGGTAATTTTTTTATCATTTATGGTATGATACATTTATTTTTTCTTTATTTCATTGTACATTGACAATTTATAATGGTTTGTATTTATGGGATAGAATGCGATGTTATGATTTATGAATATGATGTGAAATAATCAAATCAAGCTGATTAACCTATTTTTCACCTCAATTATTTATCATTTTTATAATGAAGACTTGAAATTTACTCTCAGCAATTTTGAAATGTGTGTGTGTGTGTGAGATATATTAATACTATTATTAACCATATTCAACACACTGTGCAATAGATCTCAAAAACCCCTAAGCTTATTCCTCCTGTCTACCTGTGGCTTCATACCCTGTGACTGACATTCCCCAGCCCTCCCCGCCCCCAGCCTCTGTAACCACCGTTCCACTCTCTGACTCTACGACAGCAATAGGTTTTGATTCCACACGTAAGTGAGAACATGCGGCGTTTGTCTTTCTGTGCCTGGCTTATTTCACTTAACATTCTGCAATTCCATCCATGTTGTTGCAAATGACAGAATCTCCTTATTTTTAAAGGCTGGATAACATTCCCTTGTGCATAATGTACCACATTTTCTTTATCCAGCCATCTGCCGATGGACGCTTAGGTTGATTCCATATCTTGGCTATTGTGAATAGTGCTGTGGTGAGCTTGGGAGTGAAGGTATCTCTTAGATATACTGATTTCTAATCTTTTGGGTAAATACCCAGAAGTAGAATTCTGTATCATATGGTAATTCTATTTTAATTCTGTGAGTTTAGTCTCATACGGTTTCCATAATGGCTGTGTTAATTTGCATTCCCACCCACAGTGTACGAGAGTTCCCTTTCTCCACGTCCTCACCAACATTTATCTTTCATCTTTTTGATAGTAGCCATTCTAACAGGTATGAGGTG